TACTATTCAAATTGTTATATCAATCTCTCTAATTTAATGAATTTAATACAATGTCTACAAAATAAAAATAATTTTCTACAACATAAGGTTGAAAACCTAAGGTGATATTATTGGCAGGGATAATCCATTTACTCATTTATATCCATTAAATTCTGAATTAACATTTAACAAAAGCCCACTGAGCTTCCATTATGTGACAAGCACTGCACTGACCCGATTAGCTTCAGCGCTGAAATTTCTTGTCCAGAAGATTCAAATGTGCAGTTAGGGGGAGCCACCTCCCTGGAGAAGAAAGCATGGAAGAGGAGAGAACATTCAATAGAGTTGGCTCCTGTCTGGGTTCTGATCTTCCAGATCAAAAATGTCAGAAACCTCATCTGTCTCTTGACTTTCAGGTTGGACTTTCTTCTGCAAAAGGAGAGGATGTGTGGGAGAGGGGAGTAGAGAAAAATAACTGGAAATAAAGACCCGAACTGGTTGGGAGCAAACTGAAAAAAAACAAACTGAGAAAGGGACTTGATATTGTCCCCACCCTCTTGACCACAACTCAAAGTCTCTGAACTGTGATATTCTGTGACTAGAATGTCCATGGTGAATGGAGCAAGTGAAGCTCTGGAGGAGTCCTTGAGGTCAAAATCAGGTAAGTGACCCTTCTACCCTCTATACTCATTTATTTTACCTGTTTGTTCTCCACCAACCTCAGGATTAAACCAATTTAACAGAAGGGCTGATCCCATCTATAAAAGATGCATTAGCCCCCATAATGGCCCATCTTCCCCTGACCACTTCCTCCATGGGGTATTTATGGGTGGGTGAATCAGAGGTTACCCAGGGAGGCAGAGAGGCTGCACCTGGTGGATGACAGGTGTATCCAGAAAGGACCCAGCATCTCTGTGTGAAATGGCAGCTCTGGAAAGTAGTTCAACATTCTGAGAGGGTTCCAAGTCCCAACCACAAAGACAACTCTGCAGCTGGGTTCTGAGGCTACAGAGGAAAATGTCCTTTTTCAATTGCTTCAGCTCAGGTCTTGGTGCGACACAAAAGAGATACCCCCTGCCCCAGGCTTTGTGGGCCAGTGATAACTTAGGAAGGATTTTGAGTTCACCCTGTTGGCCCAAACAGGAAACTATTAAAAACCAAGACATTGATAATATTCTGAGAAACAAAGTTTTATTTTTCACCATAGGTCTGTTTCCGTCAGCAATGTATTCAAATTGAATTACATGAAAATAGAACACTTCTTTCTCCCTCAATGGGAGTGACACCTAACAATTTGGATTTTAATTTCTCTGCCTCTTAGTTTAGTAGTTAATCCAGTAAAAACCAACATTTGAATCCATAAGAGCAAATCCTTTTGTAAATGATTAGATCGAATTATTTGAGCATGAATCACGTTTTGATTTTTAAATATCTTTGAAGAGACTTCTAATTTTTAAAATTTTTTTTTAAATTTTAAAGGTAAAAACGAAAACATATTAACAAACAGAGACATTCACAAAATAACACAAAAACAATACAAGCAATACGGAATTTCAGACAAGGTGATAGGAAATTAATAATGGGATTCAACTTTCAGTTCCTATGACACTAGTCACAGTTGGGAACTCACAATCACTATTCCCATAACTATATTGGGAATGTGAGAATCATACATGTCAGCAGGGGTCTGTGTTAGAAGGCACCACAGTGTCCTCTCTGCAGTTTTCCTTGCAAGGGTTGCACTTACTTGTGACTGACTCTAGTCTGAAAATCACAAGTAGAAAATTCCAGAAATAAACAAGTCATTTTAAATCACAGACTGGATACAAGATTTCCTTCTGGGGTGATAAAAATATTTTGGAATTAGATGGTGCTGATGTTAGCAAAACTTTTGTCACCAAAATGCCATTGAACACTATTGTACTGGGTAACTGACTAATTGTCAATTTGAGTGGGGAAGGGCAACTCAGTTGAGTAGCATGGCTCTGGGTATGGAGGACCCACTTGAGGAGGCTTATGGTTGGAAAGGTTTAAAAGGAGAAGGACAGGGAAGGATTTCAGCTCATCTCCTTGGAAGCGCTTTGTTGTGGCTGCTATTCTTCAGAAGAATTTCAGCAGTTTTTTTCTTAAGAGCTTAGGCTGCTTTCTTTCTTCAAGGGAGCTTCAATCCTTGTCTTCATCTTGGATGCTGTCTGGTTTCCAGTACAGATCCCTCAGCCTTCTGGCTCAGGTCCTTCAGTATTTTAGCACAGATGTTTTAGCTTCCAGCACTGGCCCTTGGGCTTTCTGGTGCAGATCCTTCCGTCTCCCGTCTTGGATCTTTCAGCCTCCTCATGCGGATTTGCATGGGACATTGCCGTGGGCTCCAAGCCCTTGACTGGATCCTTCAGGTTTCCAGGGCGCAAACAAATGTCTTGCACTCTTCTACATCTGACTCTCACAAGAACTGATTAATACAACTATACTCTCAAGGGTATGTAAATTATATCTCAATAAAAGATGTATACAGTACAATTTTTAAAATACTAATTGCCAAATGCACAACACCATAAAAGGGCTCATTTGCCAATTTAAGTAACCTTTTCTTGGCAAAGATGGGACAAGTTGAGCACCAAAATAATTGTAACTACAAGTGATTGAAACCCATCAAATATGTTCAAATCCATGAATTGATGAATTCTGGGTAACTGATTCATTACTTTGAAACTGATTAATAATAGAAAAATACTAAGCATTCATCTTGCTTGTCCCATACAAATTGTGCTTAAAATAACTAAATAGTTGATGCGGATAAGGTTCTCTTCATAGAATTATTTAAATTAATGAACGGGTAAGGAATGAGAGAATAAAATCATTTACAACCCTGGTGAGATAATGGACCTGTGCAATAATTACCAGTGGCTGCTAACATCAGAAAAAGAGAGATGACTAGACATCAGTACCCTGATGAAAATGTCCAGTATCACTCATCAAGCACTGTTGACCAAACAAAAACAAAACAACAAAAAACAGAAACAAAAAACTGATGAGACTCTGATAGGAACTCATTAAACAACCTTACAGCGGTGCAGCTCTCAGGATATATGTGGTGAGAACACTATAAGATAGAAATATCTTGTTTATTCAACAACAAAAACAACACTGCAAGGTCAAGGGCTACAGAAGGATGGAAATTAAATCTACAAATAATAGACTTAAGAGACACATTACTCAGTGCCCACATAAAAACCTGTTTAAATCTGTATTAAACAAACTGTTGAAAAATTGTAGAAATAAGATTACTATCATGAAAAATAAAAGTTAAATCTGTTAGAAGAAAATATAGGGTAAGGAACAGAAGATACAAAATTGATAAGAGAAAGTATTAATTACATCATAATCAAATTGTTTCTGTGTAATAAATGGCCTCATACAAAGTTAAAGATAAGCAGCATACTTAGAAGAGCATAGAGGATATCAGCAAAATATGAGAATACATAGAAGATTCATATTAGAACATACAGAGAGGCTCTACAAATTGAAAAGAATAACAGCCTAATAAAGAATTGTGCAGAAGGTAGGAATAATTCATTGAGGAGGAAATCCCATCGAGGAAATGAAAAATACTCTAATTTATAATTCAGAAAACTAGAGAAGCAAAATAAGATGCTAATTCAGATCTAAAGATTAGTAAAAAAAAAAATTAACAGTATCACTATGAGAATGTTGAGGAATTAAAATGTAGAAAAACTAGCTTAGAGATAAGAATGTAGGATATGGTCTCTCTAGTTGAAATTCACACACAGTATGAACCAGTAATGCTTAGCAGTATATATTTCTTGCTATATACTTCAGACAAAATTCTGACACATAAACACAAGGCTATACTAAAAGCATTCACTATAGTATATAAAAGAAATTGCACACATGAATTGAAGCATCATATTCTACCTATGAGCTGTGCAATTATTATGTGTCAACCAAAAATAAAAAGAAATATATTCATATAAAAATAATAAAAAATTAAAAAGCTGCAAATAGCCTAGCTCTGGATGAATAAAATGTGCTCTAGTCACATGCTTGAATATTATACAGTAGTTAAAATGAATAAGAGCTCTGTGTATTTGCATATATAGAGCTCAAAAATAACATAAAATGTATTTATTTAAATATATATACAATTTCATTTTTAAAAATAATGTAGAATTTAAAAAGCAAGCTCCAGAACAGTCCATATGGCATGTTGCCATTTATATATTTTTAAAACATGCATTTCTATAAAATGTTTTCTAAAAATGCACCCAGAAATGAATGATCCAGAGGAGCAAGAAGATGGAGACAGGTATAGATAACAATTCTGAGTTTTGTTGAGAAAGGGAAGGGATTGAACAGCTGGAGAGAGGGTCTCAGGAAGGTTAGACTTTTTTTCAGTAGCACTAGAGTGTGTTTGCATAAATGTGGGAATGATCAGGCACAGACTGAAGATCATCACTCAGAAAGCAAAATCCTCACTGGGTGTGGTGGTGACGTGTGGGATCCCAGCATGGCTGAGGCAGGAGAACTGCCAGGAGTTGGAGGCCAGCCTGCGCTACACAGCAAGACCCTGTCTCAAAAAATCCGAAAGGACAGAGAGAGAGGAGTTGGGAGAGAAAGAAAAGAGGCGCAATGCCCCTGAAACAGTGAAAGCTCGTGCTGTAGGGCACAAGAGAAGACGGGTTTGTGGAATGCTAGGAGGCGGCACCTTGAAGAAATGATGCGGTTTGTACGTGTGGTGGGGGTATCCTAGAGGGGCAGAATCGGTTTTGATTACAGGAAGGACTAAAGTACCTCCTCACCATCATGGACCGGTTTTTCCTGAAGGTCTCGGACTGTGCCATCACCAGCTCTAAAAAAAAGTAACCTGCTCTGGCGAGTTCCAGTAACTCACTTTGTGCATGTGAATTCCACAACGACCCCACAGAACACCAGAACACCAGAGCACCCCTCCGCCTAGCCGCAGGCCTCCTCCGTCGGGGCTGCAGCTGGAGGGAGCGGAGCTGCGCTGGGCGGCGGTCACCGGGGCGGTCACCTCTGCTGCGCGTGCTTTCCCGAAAACCTGCCGTCCCTCCCCGGGCCCAGCACATCAGGGCTCTCAGGCCCGGTTCCATCTGCCCGCCCCACCTCCACCACAGGTCTCACCTCCCATCCCCTCGTAGCTCCAAGTCTCCCACCATAGACTGCGGCCCGCGCAAAGCGGAGCCCCACTTTCTCACGCCCCAGGTGTGCACCTGTCTGGAGAGCGCGGGGTACAGCGAGTGTCTGCTGGTGGGGTTGGTGGGTCCCTCCCGCTGGGGGGCCGTTGCTGACTTTACCGGCCTCTCCCTCTCCCGGTGCCGGGTCTGCGACCCCTGCTGTCCCTCCTCCGCGCCCCCACCCCGCCAGCCTCTCGTCCCCAGCCCCGCCTGGATGGTGCGGGTGAGTCTCACCCCGCCCTCCTCTGAGGGAACCAACCGCGAGTGGCCCACAGGACTCTGCTGGAAGCGCATAAAACCCGCGCCAGTGACAGCGCCCGGCTCGGCTGGGGCTCCGGTCCTGAGGTCGACACCAGGGCTCGGGACTGCACTTCCAAGCAGGCTCTAGGGAATCAGCTCTCTACTTCCGGAAAAGTTGAGAGGAAGGGAATTTTGGGGTGGATTTGGGAAAGGTGGCCGCTGCCCTAGCTTTCTCTCCTCTCCAGAAGCCTAGCGCTGCACAGGTGTTCTCCGACACCGGTCCCCCTGGACTCTCCTCCTCTTCTCTGCTAGGTTTCCCTGTCCGCGCTAGGATTTGGGATCTCAGCTCCACTTTCTCCCTCCTTGTTTCATTCTCTCCTCTCCTCTCCTCTCCTCTCCTCTCCTCTCCTCCCCTTCCTTCCCCTCCCCTCCCTTCCCCTCCCTTCC